TGGGCTCCTGGTGGCAGCTGTTCTGCCCAGGAGAATCCAAATCTGAAGGGGAGAGGAGGTTCCATGCCCCTTGAGTCTGTGCAGAGCAAGTGGTATGATGAAGCTGTGTTGCTGCTTTCTGGTACAAGGAGGATTTACAGCAACCCAGGCCATTCTCCTCAAGTATATGGCTGGTCTCTGCTGAATTTAGGGAATTCTAGTTATGAAGAAGAGCTGCATGCTTACCAAGGCCTAGACTGTACTTTCTTTATGGAAATGTATAATGGAGGAAAGAGACTCCTTTTCCCTTTGCCATATGCTCCTTTTCCCTATGCCTTATACCATGGAGCCTGGGGCTGGAACAAAGCAGTCAAGAGTAGACTCTGCTGTTAGATACCTGGGGTTTGAATGATGGTCACCGTTTTTTGAAAGAGGCAGAGAAGGCTTCATTTCTCTCTTGTTTCTATCTTGTTTCTGTTCAGTGATCTGGCTGTCGTAAATCCAGAAGCATGGACCCCACATTTCCTTGGTGACTCTCAGAGTCTCTTCCACAGTCATGATTCCTTTGGTCCATCTTTTTGAGAGATGATTTTCCCTTGGCCCATGTAGGAGCATGAAGGAGAGCCTGGGCCTGTATTTCTGCCATTTCCTTGCTACATGAAAAGGTCATGGTGACATACATCACTGTTCCTGACTTCACCAGCTAGTTTCAGGGTTCAATTTAACATACACTGAATAAGTTTAGGGAGAGATGGTCCTAACTGTACCAGCAAAGAGTGGAATGTAGATGTGAACTGGTGAAATTTCCCCAAAAGCTTTTCTAGGAACTGATGCAGTAAAGCAGGAGTTGGCGTACAACAGACCTTTTGCTTTCCAGTTCATCTTTCTCCCTCAAGGTCCTTCCCTGACTACAAGGCAACTGTATGTGATTGCAGATATGGTGGATCCCTGCAATGATTCAGTCATAGAGCTGGGGGTGTCCTTACTACTTCTTCTACCTAGGCATAAAAGGATGGCAAATCCCAGGGCTTTTCCCCAGTGCATCTCCTAAAGTCACAATGTGTGCTCAGTTTACATCTCATGTTTCAGTAGATGGGAGAGCCTGAGTGTAATGGCTGGCCCAAAGTTGAGGATTCTTAGCATACAAGTTCAGAGCAAAAAGAAATCACCATCTTTGAAATCAAGAGTTGGTACATAAGGACTCTGCTTCTTTTCCCATTCATACTGAAGGTCTCCCCTGATTTTTGCAATGTGGCATCCCTTCAGTCAGCTCATGGAAAGATAAATCACAGTATTCAAAGGGGAAGGTTTTAATGAAGAAGCTTGAACTGCTTTAAGAGTTACTAAAAAATAAATAAAATATGTTGAGAACTGTTACTAGTAACAGATGATCCCAGAGTGTTTCCAGGGCTGAGCTTGCTCCCATGCTGACTTTAGCTGCACTCTTGTGGTTTATCTTCAGTGCAGTTTCCCTGAGAAAATAATTGCAGTGCCTTTACTCTAGAGCCATGCATGTCCCAGATGAACTAGGCCTCTTTTAGCACTTCAGCATTCATTGTCCGGGTGAATTAAGTGCTGTGCTAAATTATGGAAACTGCCATGCCAGTCCACATCAACAGTTGCCTCAGCCTTTCCCACCCAGTCTCTAATTTTTCCTGAACAATAAGATGCGAATCTGGAGACAGAAATATTCAATGGAGCGTAGAATGAGGGAGAACCAAGCGTGGAAAAAACTCTGTCTGCGTGTGTGGGTGCGTGCATGTGTCCAAAGCCATGTCAATGACTTGGCCCCCCTGAGGGGCAGGACATGACTGGGGAGGACACTATGTAAAAGCAGCTATTTCTGGTGGCCATCACTGCCAGCAGGAGCATGCTGCAATGCTTGGCACCTGGGGCAGTGTCAGGAGCAGACACACAGGGATCAGCACTTGGGTGTGAGGGAGCAGAAGAAGGACATTCCCCTGCAGCTGAGCCCCCCAGCTCCTCTGCATGGAGGGTGAGTGAAGCAAGGAGCACTTCTAGCACTTGGCTGTACCAAGCAGGGCCAGGCTTCCCACCACAGCAGTCCCAGGGGTGCACAGGACAAAGGGCTGCAGGTCTGCAGCAGCACCTGGAAAGAGCTGGCTGCAGAACGGGAGCAGGGACGCTTGTGGGGAGGCTTTGCCTTAGCTGCCAAACTGACCTGCCATGCTCTAATTCTATGTTGCTCTGAGCAAGGATTTAAATCCTCATGTGTCAGGGCATCAAGAAAAGAGGAAGCTCTGTGTGGGTGCAGCCTGTGTCACAGCTGCTGATTGCTCAGCCACTGAGAGCACCAGTGCGGTTCTCAGCTATCTCAGGGAAGCACTGCATCACTATCTGAGCCCTCATAGATGAACCTTCAAGTTACCTTGAGCTGGGCCATCATTCAGTTGAGTTATTCTCTTTCTCCCCTGCACTAACAGTAGGCCATAAATGAGCCCTCCTGCTTACTGTCTCTGTCATCTTTTTCATGCTGCCTCATGGGTTGGAGCTACAGCCTCCCTCTGACTTCTCTGTGGGCTTTCTACCCAGGATCAGCCCAGCCCTTCTTGGTTTTGGAAAGCAAGAAAAACCCAGTATGCTCACCTCAGCACAACTCACATAAGCTCAACTCCTTGGCTTCAACCTGATGAAAATTCTTCTTTTGTGGCTGATGCAGTTTTTCTGTCTGATCAGCAATATTTGATGTGTGTTGAAGGCAGGTTCAGCTGGGGTGAAGTGCACATGTTGCTCTCCTAAAAAATAATTTAGGTTTTTTTGAGAGATATAAATAGCTGCCTTAATTGTGCTGGTCATCCACACTAGTGTTGGCATCAAACTCTGAAGCAGTGATAACTAGTGCATTCTCATTTCTTTATAGAACTTTGCATGCTATGTCTGATATGGATTTTTATTCTGTCACTTGATCGCTACAAAGATGCATTCATCAAATGCAATTACTGCCATATGAGCCAGTCAACAGGGAAGGTTCTTCTCACCAGTCTGCACACTGCTGTTACAGTGAGTCTATCTACAGTAGGGGAAAACAGACAACTTACACAAATAGGTGACTGCTCCGGGCAGAAAGCATCAAGAACTACTGAACTCCTTTATGCTCTCCCTCCCAAATCACTTACTGGTTTGTGCTATGCCATGCCATTTGAGACTGGTTAGTGAGGGGTGGACATTTGTTTCTGTCAATGTATGGAAAGAGAGGAGCAGGCAAAATACCTGAAGTGCAAAGTGAGGCTTCATACAGACATTACAGGTTTTATTTCTGCTTTGCTTATTACAGTAAGATTTCAAGCCAAAGAAGTGACAGAAAGCAGTTGTGTACTTTATGGGGAGTACTTAGTAGGTGGATACATCCCAGTTCTCAGTCTAGTTCTTGTTCACACCTCTCTGTACACACAAAGAGGCTCATCTTACTGGGCACATTGCCTGTAAGTGCAAATGTTACTCCTTAACCTAGACGTAGTGGTCTGCGTGCCCCGGCAGTTTTTGCTGGTCAACATGTTCAGTGTGCCTTCCAGTCTCTGCTTTGAGAAGGGTGGAGGTTTGGCAATGGGATACAAGCACAGTGTTGAGAGGGATTGCAGAGGAACCGGTGTGAAGGGGAGATTGTGGAGCAGACTAGGGAGAAAAATGTGCCCCAGCACCAAAATTAAGGCCGATAAGTACTTCAGAGTTTCAGTCTAAATCTATAGGGGACAGCAGATCCCATCCAAGGAGGCAGAGTCCAAAACTCACTGTGTAGGGAGAAATAACAGTCCCTGCCAGGTAGTCTACAGGGTCAACTGGCAAGGGAAGCAGAAGCACACAAGGCAATGGTGTAACTCCCAGTAGCTCCCAGGCATCAGGAGCTTATAACCACCTGGGTGTCGTTAGTTGCATTAAATTGATGACGTGGTTTGGGTTTTCAAGAACATGATTCCAAAGACTGTCTTGACCCTGGCCTTCACCACTGGCAAAGCTCACCTTATTTTAGGGGAGGTATCTTGCAGCTTTCTGAAGGCCTCACATCATTAAAGCTGTGTTTACTACATCATTGTTCACCCAATCAGAGAACTGGTGGGTTTCAGAAGGGGTTTGTCTGAATTGGTCCTATGGAATTAATCTATTTTGTGCCCTAAAAAAAAAAATTGAGAAAAGAAAACAGAAGCAGTTAGAACCCCATGTCAAATAACAGGAGAGAAATGGACCTGGAAATGAGGACCAGGATACGAAAAGGGAACAACTGGAAGGTTAAATCCTCTCCTTAATCCTGTAATCTGCTCTAGCAGGATCTGGAGGGTTTTGTTGTCATCTCATATGTGGTCCATGGAAATATGCATGTTCAACACTGAAAATACCAGATCTTGGCAATTCTGTTTATCATGCTAGGCAGTGCTAGTCACCATGCTCTGCTGGTTGTGACTTCCTGGTGCTGTAGCTGTTATGGTGGTGGTAGAAGTTGCAGATCATCCCAACGGAAGACTGAGGAGGTTGTGGGATAATACAGCCTACCTCACTCATAGCAGCTTGCTTTGCTGTGCTGAGCATATGCCTCTCCTTTATAGGACTATAGATTTGGGGAAAGGCTGAGAGAGGCATCTTCAGTTTGCATGCACAGCATAGATAGTACCTACAGATTTAATTCTGTTAGTGGGAGATAAGTATTTACATCACAATGGAGCTGTCTCTGGGTACTGTCTCAGTTTCCTCATGAGACCAGTCAGCCCTGTGGAGCCACACACCAGCCCAGGCAAGTGGGGTGTCTGGGGAGCCTTGGCACATCCCCTGTCCTATCACCATCCCAGGTGCTGTGGGATCCTTATTCAATTTCTTCCCCTTCTCTGACTCCAGTTTCCCGTCTGTGCTGTGAAGAGAGCAGTACATCGCAGCTCTGTAAAGCTTCTTCCTCAGCCTGGCTGTCTGTCCGGTGTGAGGCTTTGTGGGATGTGAGCTCAGGCAGTGCCCAGCCTGCCTGCAACGAGTCTCCTGCCGCTTGCCCTGACCTCCTCTGCTTGTCTGCTTTGCAGGAGCGCTTGCTGACAGGGTACCTTGCATGGAGAAAGGGAGCAGAGCAAACCACGTCACTCCACCGAATGACACCAGCTGGTCCGCTCACCACCCCCTCTGGCTAAAAGTCCAGCAAAGAAAGCAGCTTCCTGTCATGAAGCCCCGAGGAGGAAGCCTCGGTCCCACGGGTGCCTTTGACCCAGAAGACAGCACATCATGGACCCACACAGTGTGCTCAGCATTCCTGCGACCATCCCCTCTTCTCCTCTTGGAACGCTTTTTCCTCTTGGTGTCTTGCTGGGGGGGATTTTTCACCCGGGTTTCAAAAACCACACGGACCAACATAGGTACTTTTCCCTCACTGACTTCGAAGTTCAGACATTTGAGACTGGACAATGATATGGATTTTTTTCTTTTTTTTTTTTTTTTTTTTCCTTTGAAAAACTGCTGTGGTTTTGCTGCTACACTAAGAATCGTGATTTGCATTGTATGGTTTTGGACCTATTCAAGTTTTGATGGGGGAAAGGGGTAATACTGGAGTAGCAACACTTCAGAGTCATCTCTGTCCTACCCATGATGCACTTTTAAATGAAGAGTTAGAATATTTTATTGGCTAATATGCTTTCCTTGTTATTTTTACAAAGGCCACCTTTATCCTTTCTAATGCCATATTTTCAGTGTTACACTTTTATGGCTTTTAATTTTTGATTTGACAGATGTAAGAAGCAGCATGAATAGTTTATACTGTGGTTTTTCAGAGACTGAATGCCAAGAGAACTCAGTAAATGTTTATTCTTCTCAGCTTTCTCTTTAAATTCCCCTAAATAGCGCCCCATTTGGGAACAGAGCAAGAGTGTTGAACTAAAGACCAAAATTCCCTCAAGGTGTAAAATAATCTGAGGGGAATATTTGCTGGGCGTCACGAAAGACTTGGATGAAATTTCAACCCTGATGGTTTTCAGTGATCCAGGAAGGCAGTGAGACAATCTCTCCATATGCATAGCCCTTTCATGATAATTAGAATGGTATGGACAAACCAATGAAAACAAGGGTAAAGTGAGAAAGATCCCCCATGATTCTGTTTCACTGTTTGCTTTCTCCTGTCATGGTTAAGAGAAATGTGCAATTTGATCCTCAATCAGTGGGTGGAGGATAACAGGGTAGAATTTACTTGTGTGCACTTGTACAGTTGTAGCCAAGAGTCCAAAAGTACACTAGAGCATGTTATACTGGCACTGAATTGGTAAGAGAGTCGTGGAGTATCCCATTCTAACAAATAAAAAAAAAAAAAAAAAAAAAAAAAAAAAAAAAAAAAAAAAAAAAAAAAAAAAAAAAAAAAGCCAAAAAAAAAAACTAAAAAAAAAAAAAAGAAACCCATAAAAACCCCACAAAAATCAAAAAGAGAGAAAAAAACCTAAAAAAATATTTCAGATCACCTTGTGATTCAGTGTAACTGTTTACTAACTCGAATAAAGCAATTGTTCACTCTTGAGTGTTCAGAGTACACCTTTTCTATAAGGCTGCTGCGGGGAAGTGAGTTTGCAGGAGCAGTGTCTGTGTGAGTGGTGTTGGGAGCAGGGCAGCAGAATCAGCTGAACCAGAGCCTTGTAGTGATGGTGCACTATGAGCACTATGTATATACTGTATTTCTATATTTTCCTTTGTACAGTTTCACTTAAGTCAAGCTACTGTTTTACAGGTGCTCCTTATTTATTAGAGCTGTGAAAGCTTGGAAATCACACCGGGCGAGTAAGCTCGCTTTTTAAAAAAAAAAACCAAACAAAAAAAAACCCAATAAAAAAAGGGGGGGTGGGGAGGGAATTCAACTCCTGAGTCTAGGGAGAGAGCTCAAAAACATCCCGACAAAACATCTTCAAGAGAGCAAGAATCTGAAGCACCCTCAGCGTGCTCTGCTTTCCTTTTGGGCTTGCAACTCTCTTCTCTCTCCCTGACTGGTGTCAGATTTATTAAAACAAAATAAATCTCCAAGAAAAAAAATGCACTTAAATGTGCTGTTGTTTATTTTATTTTTTTTTCCCTTTTTGTGCATGTGGTTATTCATTCCTCAACCTGCCTGGTCACAGAAAAAAAACCCTCAATCTGAAGTCTCAGAAAAATATGTGTAAGTGTTCTTGACAGCTGTATCTATGTCCCTTCCATCTTCATGCCTCTCTTGACAATTCTCTGTTTCTGCAGTGTTTAAGGCATGGGGAGAAAAACCCACACACTCGCCCCAGTGCAGAGTTAGGTCCTGATCTTGGAAAAGAGCTGTGGATAGATGCACTGGCTGCAGCTTCATTGATTTCAAGGGGATCTATCCAAGCACAGTTTGCTCATGCTACACCTGTGGCAGTGTAGAGAGTGTGTTCTGCCTACCTTTTGTGAGGATGGGGCTTTTCCGTGCATGAACTGCCCCTGAAATCACAGGTTCTTCAAAGCACCAAACTCCTCCCAAGTGCCCCCAGACCACTGCAACAGCTATCTTACACAACAGTGTTTGGTTCTAAGCTCTTGGCCAGCACAGCCAGCGCTGCTGATGGAGGGATTGGAAATGTCCGTTGAGCTCTGGAACTATTTGACGGTTTCATTAACCAGCCATGTAAGGCAAACAACAGCCTAAGTATGCCTGCTTGGAAGGGCATGTAGAGTAGAGCTTGTCTCCCTGTAAACAGCTTGCTGCATCTCTATTTATTCATATGAACTTGGCTGTAAAACGAAGGCTGTGTGTGTTGATTTTGCTTTTGTCAGTGGTCCAGAATTGTTAGCACACATTTTCACTTTTCTGAAAAACAACAGACTCTTTAGAGAAATCTTTCTCTCTGGTGAACTGTTTTTGTTGTTGGTTTTTGGTGGGTTTTTTTCAGAAATGGAATCAGCTTGTCAAAAATCATCAGGACAGCAGAGGTAAAGAAAGTGATCTAGCCTGGAAATGACTTCACACGTTTCCAATGATCACAAATTTACCTTAGCTTTCCTGAAAATCTGTCCATTTTACACTTTCTTAACAACTTACCCCAAAATTCAGAATGTGAACAACTGCTTTGGACAGCTGAATCAGTTCATTGTTTGTTATTTTAAAAATATCTCCAGCTGCATATATGGGGAGAAATATCCAAGTACACATAAACCTTGAGGAAAATTTAGACCAAATGGTATGATACATTATGCAAGAGAAACCTGCTTAATTTTTGAGGCCAAATCCATCCCTTGTACGATGCCAACAAAATGAATAGAATTACACAAAGGATGTAAAGGTCCTTTACAATTACTGGGAACCCAGCAAACTTGCAGAACAGTGCTTGCTCGCTGCTGATGTTATTTATTGCTTACTAAGACCTAATAGTCAAGCCAACCTCTCTCCTGGAGAACTCGCTACCAAGGAGCCAGACAAAGAAAATCCTGATGCACTGGGAGATACAGGGGAAGGTTCCTGCGTGCAACAGCCATCACTCCAGCTCTTGCACATGCACAGATTTGAGATGCAGAGATTGTCTTCATGAGCAGAGAGAAGCAGCTTTGCCTCAGGTCTCTCAGCAGCCAGTTCTGTGTCCATCCCTTCACACTGCTGCGGCAGAGGAGGAGTTTGCTGTGATCAAGCTGCACAGGTCCTTCTGCTAGCACTAAATCCTTGCTGTAAGTGTGAATTTTACCCTTGTGATAAGAGGGGACCTGTGTGCTGCAAACACTCTGCATTAATTTGCTGCGTTGTCTTAGATGATTTTGAGGGGTTTACTTTTTTTTTCGGAACTACTACACATGACAGTTTTTGAGTGGCCCCATTCCATGAATAAGGATGTCCCTCAAAATGAAAACAATTTGTGCTTTTTCCGTGCTAAATTATAGAAATAAATTTGCTTTTTTCAAATAAGTGCTGCGAGCCAAATTTGCAAGGATGCTTATCCAAGTGAGATATCCCATTCTGAGGTCCATATTTGGACACCCGAATCAACACTCAGCCAAACACATGCATGAGGCATTTCAGTGCCATTTGGAGTGTCCATATATAGAACTGGATGCCCTAACTTCATTGCCTTTGTTTTAAAAATAGGCCTGGGATATGTAAAGGCACCATTTAATAACAACTATGACAAACATTCTGTGCTCAAACTAGGAGCAAATTTGCTGAGGCTGGTTCAGGTGGATTCCCCTGGAATTGCTCTGGATTTACAGAGGTGTAACTCAGAAAAGAAGCAGTCTCAAGTTCCTTTGCCTTCCACTCCCATCCAAAGCTGTCTTGATGTTTGGGATCTGTAAATAGGGAAAGGTGGTACTCAGGCAGTAGCCATATATGCAGCAGAAGGAGAGTCAGGAACTGAGCTGAATTTGCTTCATATTGATCATAACTGCTCAAATGTTTTGGAATGGGTAGAACACCTTTACAAAAGCTTGCACACATTTTATTTGTCCTTTATGTGGTACTGGGCAAAGAAATTCATTGCTACCTTGAGCAACACTGGGACATTTTCCAGAAAACGTAGGACACACCAGCAAAACACATAGCTGTGAAAAACACAGCTGAACAGCTGCTCCTGGCTGTTTGCTTCCAGCAATGGTGGGAGCATAGCCCCTCGGAGGTGCAATGGATGCTGGCTGCAGGACACTGCAACACCTCCAAAGGAGACAGGGTATCTGATACAGGGCTGCCCCTCAGCCTGTCATGTTGGCCAGTCAAGACTTGTTGAGACTTGAGCCTCTGTGACACTGTGAGGAACAAACACAGCCACAGGGAATAAAGAAAAGAGTAACATGCCCCTGACAGCCTCTTTTCTCAAAGCTGTTCCCTGGTCTCTAAAGCATCACACCTACCTGCTGGGGAAGGGAAGTTCCCAGCCACTTCACTCACTGCTCTACTGAAATAAGTTTTCCAAGGATATGCAAGACACAGAGAAGCAGCCAGATGCACTGATCAGGACCTTTCCTTACAAATGATGCAAGCATCTAAAAGTTGTGTGTCCCTACACACACACAAGCCCAGGTACTTGACTGTCACAGGAGAAGGGGCAGCCTCACCTGGTCCTCGTGCAGGGCGCTCTCTGCCATCCAGGCAGCCCATGCTTGCAGGTGGGACGCTGCCCCAACTGGGGAGTAAAGCTTGGTTATTATTATCTAGGATAGCTGAGAACAGAGATGTGTTGTGATTCCCACCTCTCAGCAGGCCTACTTTATCTTTGAAAGACCTTGCTGGACCTATTTAGTAAAAGAAAAAGGCTTGAGGAGGAAGTAATGTTGCCTTCTTTTCCAGAAAATTGTTGTCCTCAGGGGGTTTGCTGGGGGACCGGGAGACTGCTTCAGTCTCCTTCTTCAGCTGAAGGAATCAAGCCCACATAGGCACGTGCAAAAGAAGTTGTTCAGAGAGGCTGTTATCCCTTCCCATGTCCCAGGCCAGGATTGGTGTGATACAATCTCTCCCAGCTGGTCTACTGGGACACAAGCTACGCCAAGGAAGGCAGGAGAGGTTCTCTTCACTTCTCAGGAAAGAGACGTGAATACAATACCCATAATGCTGGGAAGAGGAAGCACAGCCCTCCAGTTAGGGCTTGAGGCTTTCTCCTGGAACAAGGGCATCTGCTTCTCCTCCCCAAAGGGCTTTAGAGCTGCTGCAGTAAATACTGACTCCCCCACAAAGCCCACCTCTGAAGCAAAGGGAGCCTTCCCTAAGCCAGGTCTCATAGTCTTCCTCAGCATGCTGCAGCCCTGCCTTCCTTCCCACTTCCTGGGCCCTCAGCACAGCAGGGCAGGCAGCCAAAGAACTCCCTGGGGCAGCAGTGCTGGCAGCATCCCCCAGTGAGCTTTGGAGCAGGGGAGCATGCCAGGCTGGCAGGATTGCACCAGCAGGCCTGCCCCACATGTGCTGTGTGATGCTGGCCCTTCACACTACCTGTCCTCTCCTTCTGGAGTACCTCAGGAGATGTGGTTTCCAGCTCTAGCCAGAGGAAATTGATTTATTGCATCCCAGTTGCTCGCGTGGTCTTTGGCGTGACAGGCATTATGTGAAACATAATGTTTAGGACACACACACACACACACACACACACGCAGAGAACTCGGGAGCAGCTCACTATGTAGCTCAGAAGTATCTTTCTAAGGATAAGACTAAGCAGGCGCCCAGGCACTGAAGCACGGTTGGATGCCGGGGAAAGCTGGCTGCCGCCCGCTCACTCTCACGAGAGGTGCGGCAAGATGATTTACGGGCAGGGTCAGGTAGGGGAGCTGACACAGGCGGGTCAGAGAGGACGGGTGCCAGCCCACAGGCTTACTGTCGGTCGACATCCAGGGAGCAGGATGGAAATAGAGGAGGGGAGCA